GCTTGGTGGCACTTTGGGGCTGGTGGCACTTTGGGGCTGGTGTCACCCTCAGGTCATGGTGGCACTTTGGGGCTGGTGGCACCTCCAGGGCTTGGTGGCACTTTGGGACTCGTGTCACCTCCAGGGCTTGGTGACACCTCCAGATGGTGACACCTCCAGATGGTGACACCTCCAGGCATTGCTGGAGTCTTGGCTGGTGGCTCTTCTGGGCGTTGGTGACACTTTGGGGCTGGTGGCACTTCCAGTGGTCAGTGACACCTCGAGGGCTTAGTGACACATCCAGGCATTGGTGGCATCTTGGGAATGGTGGCACCTCCAGATCTTGGTGTCACCTCACGGCTGGTGGCACCTCCAAGCTTTGATGTTTGCCTTCAAGCGTTGGTGACGCCTCCAGGCAGTGGTGACACTTTGGAGGTGGTGGCACCTCCAGACAGATGTTGGTGACACCTCCAAGGACTGGTGACACCACCAGGGCTGGTGACATCTCAACACCAGTGACACTTGGGGACTGGTGGCTTCTTCAGACACTGATATCCCCTTGGGGTTGATGGCATCTCCAGGGCTGGTGACACCTCCAGGGGTTGGTGTCCCGTTGAAACTGGTGAAAACTCCAAACCTGGCAACACTTCCAGACTTGGTGACACTCTGAAGCTGGTGGCACCTCCAGGGCTGGTGACACTTCCAGGTCTGGTGACTGACCAGACTTGATGACACCTCCAGGGCTGGAGGTGTCAACACCCCCAGATCTTGGTGTCCCTTTGGGGCTGGTGGCACCTCCAGATCTTGGTGTCCCTTTGGAGCTGGTGGAACCCCCAGTTGTTGGTGTCCCTTTGGGTCTGGTGGCACCTCCAGCACTGGTGACACCCCCAGATGTTGGTGTCCCTTTGGGGCTGGTGGCACCCCCAGATGTTTCTGTCCCCTTGAACCTGGCGATACCTCCAGACACGGCGACACCTCCACCATCGGCCGCCACCCCCTGGCCCCGGTGCCACCCGGGGGCCGCCCCGGTGCCGGTGTCACCCCTCTGTCCCCCCTCAGACGTTGCTGATGCGGACGCTGAGCGGGGCGCCCTCCCCCTCGCGCTCCGCCTCCCGCAGCGACTCCTCCAGCTTGACCTTCTCGGGGTCCCCGAACCGCACGGCCTCGTGGTGGCAGCAGGGCGCCGCCACCTTGACCACGCGGTCGAAGAGGCTGAAGTCGGCCACGTACTTGCCGCTGGCCGACAGCGAGATGGCCGGCGTGAACTCGTAGCCCCACAGGATCTCCTCGGGCAGGTAGGACGTGCGCACCTGGCACGTGGCGCTGGTGGACTCCACGGTGCCGCTGAGGATGACCACCAGCTCGAAGTCGCCGTCCCCCGAGCGCAGGGACACGTCCCGCAGCGGGCTGGCCTCGTCCACCACGTGGTAGAAGGTCAGCGGCAGGATGAGGAAGGGGCTGTCCGAGGACGTGTCCACCTGGAAGTCCACGTTGAGCTGGTTGAGCCGGACGCTCTCGCCCTCCTTGGTGAGGTGGGTCTGCAGCAGCTTCCCGGTGACCTGGCAGCCGATCAGGAGGCTCTTCCTCATGTTGGCCACGCGGATCATCAGGCAGGTCTTGCCGTCGTGCTGCGCCACCACCGCGTTCTGGCTGAACTTGATGGTCTCGGCGCGCTTCTTGGGCCGCGCGATCTTGGCCAGGAAGGTGCCGGTGATGAAGATCTCCAGGATGGTGGTCAGCACCAGCTGGGTGATGAGCAGCACGATGGCCAGCGGGCACTCCTCGCTGATGTAGCGGAAGCCGTAGCCGATGGTGGTCTGCGACTCCAGGGAGAAGAGGAAGGCGCCGGTCAGCGTGTGCACCTGCATCACGCACGGCGTGTGGTTGGCGGGCGGCTCGAACTCCAGCAGGTCGCCGTGCGCCGCCGCCACCAGGTACCACACCACGCCGAAGGCGAACCAGGTGCCGGCGAAGGTGGCGGAGAAGAGCAGCAGCTTGTAGCGCCACTGCAGGTCGATGAAGGTGGTCCACAGGTCCTTGAGGTACAGGAAGCGCTTGTCCGAGATGTGCTCCATGCGCACGTTGCTGCGGCCGTCCTTGGTCAGCACGCGGCGCCGCCGCAGCCCCGGCCCCATCAGCGGGCGGCTGTCGGTCTGCGTGGTCTGGCTGTAGTACACCTTGGTGGAGGACGTCATCTGCGGGACACGGGGACACGTGAGGGACACGGAGGGACAGGGGAGAGTGTCATCTGTGGGGACATGGGGACACATGAAGGACAGGTAGAGAATGTCATCTGCGGGACACGGGGACACGTGAGGGACACAGGGACAGGGGAGAATGTCATCTGTGGGGACACGGGAGGGACACATGTGAGGGACAGGTAGAGAATGTCATCTGCGGGACACGGGGACACGGGAGGGACACGGAGGGACAGGGGAGAATGTCATCTGTGGGACATGGGGACACGTGAGGGACATGTGAGGGACAGGGGAGAATGTCAACTATGGGGACACGGGGACACATGAGGGACAGGGGAGAATGTAATCTGTGGGGACACAGGGACACGTGAGGGACACGGAGGGACGGGGGAGAGTGTCATCTGTGGGACATGGGGACATGTGAGGGACAGGGGAGAATGTCAACTGTGGGGACATGGGGACACGTGAGGGACAGGGGAGAGTGTCAACTGTGGGGACATGTGAGGGACAGGTAGAGAATGTCATCTGCGGGACACGGGGACACGTGAGGGACACAGGGACAGGGGAGAGTGTCAACTGTGGGGACATGTGAGGGACAGGTAGAGAATGTCATCTGCGGGACACGGGGACACGTGAGGGACACGGAGGGACAGGGGAGAGTGTCATCTGTGGGGACATGGGGACACATGAAGGACAGGTGGAGAATGTCATCTGCGGGACACGGGGACACGTGAGGGACACGGAGGGACAGGGGAGAGTGTCATCTGTGGGGACATGGGGACACATGAAGGACAGGTAGAGAATGTCATCTGCGGGACACGGGGACACGTGAGGGACACAGGGACAGGGGAGAGTGTCAACTGTGGGGACATGTGAGGGACAGGTAGAGAATGTCATCTGCGGGACACGGGGACCGTGAGGGACATGTGAGGGACAGGGGAGAATGTCATCTGTGGGACATGGGGACAGGGGAGGGACAGGTGGGGGACAAATGGAGGACATCACCTGCGAGGACACGGGGACATGTGAGTGACAGGAGGAGGGGGTCGTCTGCAGGGACACGGGAACAGGTGAGGCACAGGTGGAGAACATCGTTTTTGGGGACACGGGGACACACGAGGGGTGGGGACATGGGGACACGTGAGGGACAGGGGAGAGTGTCAACTGTGGGGACATGTGAGGGACAGGTAGAGAATGTCATCTGCGGGACACGGGGACACGTGAGGGACAGGGAGGGACAGGGGAGAGTGTCATCTGTGGGGACATAGGGACATGTGAGGGACAGGTGGAGAATGTCATCTTCGGGGACATGGGGACACATGGGGGACAAATGGAGGAGATCATCTGGGGGACACAGGGACATGTGAGTGACAGGAGGAAGGGGTCGTCTGCAGGGACACGGGAACAGGTGAGGCACAGGTGGAGAACATCGTTTTTGGGGACACGGGGACACATGAGGGACAGGTGTGGCCGTGTCATCAACGGGGACACAGGGACAGGTGGAGGATGGCATTGGGGGGGACCAGGGGGTCATCGCTGTAACTGTCCATCCCGTTATCTGTCCCCATGTCCCTCTGTCCGTCCCCATGTCCCTCTGGCCATCCCCATGTCCCTCTGTCCATCCCTCTGTCCATCCCCATGTCCCTCTGTCCGTCCCCGTGTCCCTCCATCCCTCCACGTGCCCCCCCCCATTCCCAAATCCCTCCGTGTCCCCCCCGTGTCCCCCCCGTGTCCCCCCTGTCCCCTGGCAGCTCCGGTGGTGGCCGTGGAAGTGTCCCTGGCGTCCGGGAGGAAGAGGAAGGGGATGAATGGGAGGTGACAGCGACAAATGGCCGGGGGCAGCGCCAGGCGCCTCCCCGGTGTCCCCGTGTCCCGGTGTCCCGGTGTCCCCATCCCAAAAAGGCCCTTTCAGCCCCCGCCAGCCTCTGGCCCCGCCGCCGTTTCCGCCGCGGAAGGGCAGCGTGCCGGGGACACGGGGACACGGGGACACGGGGACACCGGGAGGTGCTGGCACCGCGGGGGGTCTCCTTGGAGCCCGGTGTCCCCGCGCCGGCCAAGGCTGGGGACACGAGTGGCACTGCCACTGTCCCCGCTGCGCCAGAGGAATGTCCTGGAAGGGACGGTGGCAGCCGGGACGGAGGGGACATCGCTGTCCCCAAAGAGGGGACACGGAGCTGCTCCTTCCCAGGTGGGCTGCGGGGGTCCCTGGGGCCACCGTGTCCCCAGAGCCACTGTCCCCAGAGCCACTGGGTGTCCCCAAAGCCACCGCGTGTCCTGGAGCTGCTGGGGGTCCCCAGAACCCCTCATGTCCCCAGAGCCCCCCATGTCCCTGGAGCCGCTGTGTCCCCCAAGAGCCACTGTGTCCCCAAAGCCACCACCTGTCCTGGAGCTGCTGGGAGTCCCCAGAGCCCCCCGTGTCCCCAAAGCCACACCGTGTCAAGTTCCTGGGGTGCCCAGGGCCCCCCATGTCCCTGAAGTCACTGTGCCCCCTAAAGGCCCCACCGTGTCCCCAAAGCCACCGTGTCCCCAGAGCCACCGTGTCCCCACCCCCTGCTTTGGGGGTCTCTGCACACCCCTGCTCCCCTCTTTGGCCCCCGCCCCCCTTCTTTAGGCTCCTGCCCCCCCCTTTCTCCCCGCCCCCTCCGCGGGCCCCGCGTGCCCCCCGTGCCCCCCGGGCGTGCTCCGGTGGCCGGGCACGGCTCGGGACAAGCCGCCGCTTGTTCGCGGTGCCCGCGGCACACGCGGTTACCCATTAACCCCCCCACACCTCCCCCGTGCCTCAGTTTCCCCTCGGGGGGTTCTGGTCACTTCGGGGGTCACCGCAGAGGCCCGGCGCGGCATGGGGGGGTGCGGAAGGATTGGGGGGGGTGCAGGAGGACTTGGGGGGGCGGGCCGTGAGCCTGGGGACCCCCGAGACCCACCCCCTGCACCCCAAAACCTCACCAGCTCCTTGAAGGTGAGGCGGCAGCTGTAGCACAGCAGGGGGATGTAGGCAGCTTTGCTCTGGCGGGGGGGGGACAGGGACGGGGACAGGGACACTGGGGCCATTGTGCGGCCGGAGCCGAGGTTTCAATGGGGCTGGCGGGGGGACAAAGGCGCTTTCACGGAGCCCTCGTTAAGATGCAGAGCCCCGCGCGCCCGCCACCGCCAGCGCGGGGGTCCCGGGGGGCCCGCGACACCGCCAGGGCGGCCGAGGGGACACGGGGACCCCCCCAGTGCCACTGCCGATGCCACCGTTCCCCGCGTCCCGCTGGCACCGGCGGCGCGGGCACGGTTCCCACGGCACGGCGGTGCCAGGCGTGACCGGGCGCGCCGCCAGCGCCCCCCCCCCGCCCCCAAACTGGGGCGCGGGGCTGCCCCGCACTGGGGTATGCCACCGAGGGGACACGGGGACCCCCCACTGCCACCGAGGGGACACAGGGACCCCCACTGCCACGGAAGAGGCACAGGGACCCCCCTGATTGTCACTGTCAATGCCACCGAGGGGACACGGGGACCACGCACTGCCACCGAGGGGACACAGGGACCCCCATGGTTAATGGCACTGTCACCAAGGGGGGCACAGGGACCCCCACTGCCACCGAGGGGACACAGGGACCCCCCCACTGTCACTGTCAATGCCACCAAGGGGACACAGGGACCCCCCACTGCCACCGAGGGGGCACAGGGAGCCCTATCATTAATGCCACTGTCACCAAGGGGGGGCCTGTGACACTGCCAGGGCCACCGAGGGGACACAGGGACCCCCATGGTTAATGCCAATGTCACCAAGGGGGGCACAGGGACCCCCATGGTTAATGCCAATGTCACCAAGGGGGGCACAGGGACCCCCACTGCCACCCCCACTGCCAGCACAGGGGCCCTGGGGCACCCCTGACACCAGCAGGGCCACCAAGAGTGGCACAGAGACCCCACTGCCACTGGCATGGCCACCAAGGGGGCATCCCATGGTTACTGCCACTGTCACCAAGGGGCACAGGGACCCTGTCATTACTGTCAGCACAGGGAGCCCTATCATTAATGTCACTGTCACCAAGGGGCACAGGGACCGCCACTGCCACAGGCACTGCCACCAAGGGGCACAGGACCCCCATTGTTACTGTCACTGTCACCGAGGGGGGCACAGGGCCCCCATGGTTACTGTCACTGTCACCACAGGGGTCCCCTGACCCTGCCATGGCCCCCACGGGGGCACAGGGACCCCCATCACCCACCCCAGTGTGGGTGTCAGAGGTCCCTGTCCCTGTCCCAGGGTCCCCTGTCCCTGTACTCAGAATAATCCACACTGTCAGTGCCACCATGAGGGTCCCAGGCCCTGCTGTGTGACCTGGGGGACCCCTGTCCCCCCCATGTCCCCACTGGGGGTCCTGGGGGTGCCCCCACCAAGGATGGGCCTCCCAGGATCCCCCTCACAGCATCGGGGGACCCCAAAATGGAGCCTTAGGGCACTTCTGGGATAATTCACACCCAGGATAACGCACACCTGGGATAACCCATACCTGGAATAACGCACACCCTGGATAATGCACTGCTGGGATAACCCCCACCCGGGATAATTCACACCTGGGATAACCCACATCCAGGATAACCCCTTCCTGGAATAACCCACGCCTGGGATAACCCACGCCTGGGAGAGTCTACATCCAGGACAACCCAAATTCCAGGATAACCCACAGCTGGAATAACCCACACATGGGATAACCCACACCCAGCATAACCCACACCTGGGATAACCCACACATGGGATAACACACACCTGGGATAACCCACACCCGGGATAATTCACATTTGAGATAACTCACACCTGGGATAACCCACATCCAGGATAACCCCTTCCTGGAATAACCCACGCCTGGGATAACCCACGCCTGGGAGAGTCTACATCCAGGACAACCCAAATTCCAGGATAACCCACAGCTGGAATAACCCACACATGGGATAACCCACACCCAGCATAACCCACACCTGGGATAGGGGCACAGGGAGCCCTATCATTAATGCCACTGTCACCAAGGGGGGGCCTGTGACACTGCCAGGGCCACCGAGGGGACACAGGGACCCCCATGGTTAATGCCAATGTCACCAAGGGGGGCACAGGGACCCCCACTGCCACCCCCACTGCCAGCACAGGGGCCCTGGGGCACCCCTGACACCAGCAGGGCCACCAAGAGTGGCACAGAGACCCCACTGCCACCGGCATGGCCACCAAGGGGGCATCCCATGGTTACTGCCACTGTCACCAAGGGGCACAGGGACCCTGTCATTACTGTCACTGTCACCAAGGGGGGCACAGGGCCCCCATCGTTACTGTCATTGTCACTGAGGGGGGCACAGGACCCCCATCGTTACTGTCATTGTCACTGAGGGGGGCACAGGACCCCCATCGTTACTGTCATTGTCACTGAGGGGCACAGGGACCCTGTCATTACTGTCACTGTCACCAAGGGGGGCACAGGGCCCCCATCGTTACTGTCACTGTCACCACAGGGGTCCCCTGACCCTGCCATGGCCCCCACGGGGGCACAGGGACCCCCATCACCCACCCCAGTGTGGGTGTCAGAGGTCCCTGTCCCTGTCCCAGGGTCCCCTGTCACTGTCAGTGCCACCATGAGGGTCCCAGGCCCTGCTGTGTGACCTGGGGGACCGCTGTCCCCCCCATGTCCCCACTGGGGGTCCTGGGGGTGCCCCCACCAAGGCCAGGATGGGCGTCCCAGGATCCCCCTCACAGCATCGGGGGACCCCAAAATTCTGGGATAATTCACACCCAGGATAACGCACACCTGGGATAACCCATACCTGGAATAACGCACACCCAGGATAACGCACACCCTGGATAATGCACTGCTGGGATAACCCCCACCCGGGATAATTCACACCTGGGATAACCCACACCCGGGATAATTCACATTTGAGATAACTCACACCTGGGATAACCCACACCCAGGATAACCCACTCCTGGGATAATTCACACCTGGGATAACCCACATCCAGGATAACCCCTTCCTGGAATAACCCAGTCCTGGGATAACCCACGCCTGGGATAACCCACGCCTGGGAGAGTCTACATCCAGGACAACCCAAATTCCAGGATAACCCACAGCTGGAATAACCCACACATGGGATAACCCACACCCAGCATAACCCACACCTCAGAATAACCCACAGCTGGAATAACCCACACATGGGATAACCCACACCTGGGATAACCCACACCCAGCATAACCCACACCTGGGATAGCCCACACCTGGGATAGCCCACACCCGGGATAACCCACATCCCAGGACAAACCTCTCTTGGAATAACCCGCATCCCAGGGTAACCCACACCTGGGAAAACAAATTTTGGGATAACCACAGCTGGGATACTCAGAATAACCCACAGCTGGGATAACCCACACCTGGAATAACTCATACCTGGGATAACACACACCTGGGATAACACAAATTCTGGGTAACCCACACCTGGGATACTCAGAATAATCCACACCCGGGATAACCCACACCTGGAATAACCCAAATTCTGAGATAACCCACACCTGGAATAACCCATACCTGGGATAACCAAATTCTGGGATAACCCACACCTGGGATACTCAGAATAACCCACACCCAGAATAATCCACACCTGGGACATGGGGATAAAGGGACAGGGACCTTGGGGACATCGACCTGGGGATACATGACATGGGGACATGGGATGGGGATGTGGGGCACGGGGGACACAGGGACATCAGAATAGAGGGACAGGGGGACATGGGGACAGAGGACATGGAATATATGACATAGTGACTTGGGATGGGGACATGGGGCACAGGGGACAGAGGGATGAGGGACATGGGGACACGGGGACATGGGATATAGAGACAGGGCCGTGGGAACATAGGATGTGGGGATATGTGACATGGGGATGTGGGACACAGCGTGTTGGGGACATGGGAGAGGGACACAGGACCTGAGGGTGTGGGGACAGGGGGACACGGGGGAATGGGGACACATCGCTGTGGGGCACAGGGACACGGGAACATGGGGACATGGGGACACTGGGATATGTGCTATGTGGGAATCCATATCCCAGGGATGCAGGGCCAGGGGGCCAGGGGGATACAGGGCCACAGAGACATGGCGGTACGTGACATGGGGACATCAGGACATGGGAATATGGGGACATGGGAATATGGGAATATGGGGACACAGGGATGTGGTGGTATGTGACATGGGGACATGGGAATATGGGGACATGGGAATATGGGGACACTGGGATATGGGAATATGGGAATACAGGGCCACAGGGACACGGCAGTACGTGACATGGGGACATCAGGACATGGGGACACGGCCATACACAGAAACGAGGACATGGGACTGTGGGACACAAGAATTTGGGGACGTGGGCACGAGGGACTTGGGGGCACGGCGATTTGGGGACCCAGCGACGGGTGGACACGGGGATGTGGGGACACGGGGACACGGGGACGTGGCCTCACGGAGTCACGGGTGATGGCGACACAGCGATGTGGGGACATCGGGGCTGCGGTGCCACCGTGGGGGGGACAAGGGGTCACGGGGCTCCCCTCTGCAGTGCCGCTGCCATCCCAGCGCCACCGGCCGGTGCCCGCCGCCCTCGGGACCCCCCGGGAGGGGACGGGGGACCCCCGGGGACCCCCCCGGCCGCCCTTACCTTGCTGGGGGGGTCGCGGGTCCCGCCGTGCTCAGCCCGGCCGGCTCCCCATGGGCTTTATGGCTCGGCGGGGCCGCGGCGGCGGGACGGGCACCCCCCCCCCGCGGAACCGGGGAGGAGCCGCCGGGGGCGGGCCGGGGGTTAATGGGGTGGAAAAGGAGCCGGCCGGCACCGGGTCACGTTACCGGGCACGGGGGGGGCCGGGGGACCCCGCCCGCGGGCACCGGCACCGCAGTGGGGGTCCCGGTGGGGGCACCGGGGGATGGGGGGTGTGAGGGCATGGGGACCGGCAGTGGGGGTCCCGGTGGGGGCACCGGGGGTCCCGGTGGTGATGTCCAGACACCGGCACTGTCACTTGGGGTCCCAGCGGGGACACCGGGGGTCTCGGCGGGGTCCCCCCGGCACTGGAAGTGGGGGTCCCGGTGGGGGCTCGGGAAGGGTCTCCCGGGCACCGACACCGGCTCTGGGGTCCCGGTGGTGATGCCCAGGCAGTGGCACCTGCTCTGGGGGTCCCGGTGGGGGCACCGGAGGGTCCCGGTGGTGATGTCCAGACACCGGCCCTGTCACTTGGGGTCCCAGCGGGGACACCGGGGGTCTCGGCGGGGTCCCCCCGGCACTGGAACCTCCAAGAGGGGTCCCGGAGGGTCGGGGCAGGGTCCCCCCGCGGGCACCCTGGGGCTACACGGTTACCGGGGGGGGGTCCTGGGGGGTCCCGCCAAGGCCCCGGGGTCACGGCAGCCCCCACCCACGCACGGGGGTCCTGGGGATGGGACCCCTCCTCATCCCCACCCTGAGCATCCCCGTGCGGGGTCACCCCGTGGGGGTCTGGGGACCGTGGGGTGTGCGGGATGGGGGTCCGTGGTCCTGTGTCCGTGTGTCCGTGGGTGGCCGGTCAGTGTGTCCGTGTGTCCATGTGGGATGGTCAGTGTGTCCGTGGGTCCGTGGGTGGCTGGTCAGTGTGTCCGTGGGTGGCCGGTCAGTGTGTCCGTGTGTCCATGTGGGATGGTCAGTGTGTCCGTAGGTCAATGTCCGTGTGTCCATGGGTCCGTGGGTGGATGGTCAGTGTGTCCGTGTGTCCGTGGGTGGCCGGTCAGTGTGTCCGTGTGTCCGCCTGTCCGTGTGTCCGTGGCAGCCCCACGCCAGGCCCGCTCCGGAGGCACAAAGAGCCTTTGTCCACCCGGGGGGGGAGGGGCGGGCGAGTGACCGCGGGGCCGGGGCTACCGGGGAGGGGCGGGGCCGGGCACTGGGCTGGGGGGGCG